AAAAATTGAAATACAATATTTATTATACACGTAAATGTACAAGCTTTGATAAACTAAGCTATGCACTATAAATTGTATAGTAATAATTATATAAATGATAGGTCGATAGATCACATTATAGTTACACTATATTTACAGAACATAAGTAAAATACATTACATAAAATTTACCTACCTATTGTACCTATACAATTTTTAATTTTTAACTAGATAGTAGATGTATGTGATATGTTTTTGTTCAATAAGTAAAAACAGTATAGTATGAAAAATACATAGTTTAAGTGAGCCATCAAGATATGTATCGTATGGTAAACTAAATTTAAAAGTAAATTCATTACTTTTGAAAGACCAAAATAAAATTAATTTTAATGAATGTGGAGGTATTTGAAATATGTACAATACAATTTTGATATTAAGACAAATTATTGTTATCATTTAGTGCATTATAGTATAAAACAAGCAACCTATCAAGCATTAACACTGATTAGAAAGAAATAAATTTGAATTTTAACAAACTTTGAAAATTGTTTAAAAATCAATGATTTAACCTAATTCAAAGTTTTAAACGCTAAAATTATTTTTAAAAATGTATTTATAAAATAAAATAATTATCTAAAAATATTTATAAAATATAGCTATAATAGATATAAATATATTATGTAATACCTATATAATAACTTCAGTTAACTTTAGATAAAAATAACTTACATTTATGTTTATCAAAGCTTGTACATTTACGTGTATAATAAATATTGTATTTCAATTTTCAATACACAAAGTGAACGACCACATTGTGAAAAAATTACACGATATTAAATTAGAGTGACCATTTCATGAAAAAGTGACCATATTGTGAAATATTTTCGAATTTCATGAAGTGTAAAAAATCCGTTTCCATTTCATGAAATGGTCATCTTTTTATGAAAAGATCAAATTCATTAAGTGATTACGACATATATACTGCAGTATGTAACAGAAAGACCTGACGACTGAAAATATATAAAATAAGTAATTACTTTTGTTGTAATTAATATATTTTTAATTATATACATAATTTATACAAAATCATGTAACAAGTACAGTAAAAAAAATTTTATTATTTTTTAGTACCGAAAATAAAAATTTTTTAATTCGTGTACTTACATTTTTTTGGAAAAAATTAAAAATAACCAATATCTTAATGTAATAGATACATTAAAAATGTTTAAATACATATAGGTATTTGTATAATTGGGTACATGACGTACATTATAATAAAGTATATAGGTAATAGCAGTGCACATGCGGGCCGCAATACCGCGGCACAATAGAAATCGCTCATTTTTGTGTACCTATATAATTCTTATACGGGCATATAAAATAACAATAACATTACTTATTGATTTAAGTTTCTTTCAGCGCGCATCAATTTTTGTAAAAATTGGTTTTTATGTGTTTCGTAAAAGACTAGAAAATATTGATACGTTTATTGTATAATCTTATGATTCGAACAACCTCGTTGGACAATAATTATTGTAAAGTTTGCAGATCTGTTCTACTTCTTTTCTTTTTTTTTTTAGATATTTTATTGTTGCTATCATAATAGAGTTTCTTTTAGAATTAAAAATATATACAGGTTATACAATTTGTATTATACATTTATAAATATAATAAAGCGATGGACGATGGTATACATAATACATAAAATACTTATATATATATATATTTTTTTATGTAATTAAAATCATTGTACACAATAACATTTTTTTAACAATTAAAATATCATTATCATTTTTAAGTATGTTTTTTATTTATTTTTTGATGACAGCATAATATAGATTTTTAATTCCTTATTGCATAGCAGAATATTTTTCGGAGTATCTATTACAATATAAAAAAATTTAATCTTGGACAATTAATACTTTATAAGTTTTAAGTATTTAATGTTTTAATTAGCGGTGTTTAATGGCGCAAATACCCGTAAAATTGGTTCACTTCTATTACACATACACATACATCGCATGCCCGAACATCGAAACATTTATTGGTTCAATACTTATTATCGTTATTACCTGCTACTACTGCAACTACTCGTCTGAAAATCGATTAATGTCGAAAAAATATATGTCGACGTTCTAAAAAGTAAAACTCAAAAATAATAACATATATCTATAGTAAAATCTATATTATTTTTTTCCTTAGAATTTATTTTGTATAATGACTTAAAGCAATAAAAGAAAATCGTTTTCAAAAACGTTTTAAGTTATAAAACAAGCGTTTCACATATAAATATATATACGTATATTACGCGAAATATCTATTGGCTATCAAATATACTGTTATCGTTCATGATGTTATTATTTATTAGGATATAATCAGTGGTGTATTGGTAAATAAATTTATGGATATACGCATTTCCTGAAGATTATAAATAATAATTTTTTTTCGCTTCGCTCGAAATTTATCTTTAAAAATCCATTTAACCTTTCATACCTACTATCTCGTGGTACAAATTAGTTGTCAAAAAGTTACTAATTATTGTTGGATATGTTCAAGATATAGGAAGTCTATGATAAACTATTTTACGTCCCAAAATGAGTACCTACAGCCAATAACCGCGTCACAACCGCTATCAATAACCGAACGCGGTGGCTCTGTCATCCCATAGATAATCTATGCGGGTATCGTACATAATATAATAGTACGCAGATAGCTCGAGTAAGTATTGTGCAAGTATCTATCGGTCGTTAGTATTTCAGCATTTATACTCGGATCCCATAAAATAAATTATTATTTATTATTACCTATTATGCGTGTACAGTGTATGTGTACAAGTCGACGTGTGTATCTACGTACCTACGCACGTATACGGACGTTTACCTGCGTATCAGTTATTTCTCAAAATGTATACGTTATGAATGATAACCTAATGATGGGTGTACGCCATTTAATCTCCCCGTACACCCTCCAATGCATGACTGGACTGGATGTTTGGATATAATACTACATGGATGATTGGTAAATCAGGCGAACCACATGTACGGCGTCTACAGAATTTCGTATAGTGATTCTCTGGCTCCTACTCTTGCGCGGGTACACCGTACACCTCGTAGCCCGCCCGTAAGCTTACAGTGAATGTCTCCGAAAAAAAAAAAATATGTCTCAAAAGACTTTACAAAAGTCCAAAGACGTACAGAGACAAATTATTGTGTTCTCGATCGATTCAACCTGGTTTTCCGGTATCGATGCGTTTACAAGTGGCGGAGGGTGGGGCTCCGGCACCAACAGGCCAACAGGCATCATCGCCTGCGTTGTTCGTGTTTACGAGAGATGATGAAGCACCGACGGGTGGAAGAGCGTGGTGGGCTGATGGCGTCCCCACGGACCACTGCCATTGAACGAAGCGTCGTGTGCTGCGCATGCGCCCGGGGCGTGAAAGATTATTTTAGTTCTAGCGGTGATGAGAGAGCATGTGTGTACGCACGCGTACCATTTTTTACTTGTCGTCGAGCGTTGTTCGACGTTCGTGTTCTGTCGTAGCGTTTAGTCGTCACCGCGAGTCCATCGATCGTGTGCAGTTTTGGTCACTAATCTGTGTACATTCCCAGGCGGTTCGTTCCTAATCGGCCCTTGTCTGAAGTCTGTTTATCCGCGTTTGTGAAACCTTAGTGTTTTGAAACCGGAAACGCGTATAGCTGAGCAAGACGAGCTACTCAATTCGTCGATCGTGTGTGTGTTTGTGAACCTATCTCATACCTACGTAAAATTCTATACATATATTTTATTGTCGATATACTGTTCCTCTTACGAGCAATCACCATACGGATCGCCAATAAATTATTGTTGACGTTTAAAAAGTTCACAGCTGGAGAAAATCGAACTGATGTCATTAAGGTAAGTTGAAATCGGGATTAATAACTGATAAGAGTAGCGTTTTCTTAGTAGTTAATCGAAATGGACTGGAATACGATAGTTTTTAAGAGAACGACAGCTTCTGATAACAGTAAAAAAAATTCTCATAGCGTATAGTTTAATATATTGATTTTTATTGCTTATGTTCTGGCCATTAAAATAACACATTATAAATTAATCGATATTTGTTAAACTTCAATATTTTTGTTGCGTTCATTGAGCATTTATACAGAGATGGCTACATAACATGGTGTTTCATTTTATAATTATTCGTCATCATGACGATCGTGTACTAAATAACGAATTGAATATATACAATATGATGAGTCGTGAATATTCTTATACCTAAAACTATTTATTTTTAAAATTGTGTGAATTAGTTATTAACATTTTTCTATTGCTTATTTATTTTAATGACTGCAGTACCACATGAATAGTACATTCATACTATAATTTTCAAAATTAAAATTGACTCAATAAAAAATATTTTTCATTATTTTGTGTTAAAATGTTTATAAGTTGATTTTCAGTTCTAAAATAGCTGTTGGTTGTCAATTTCAATTCTTTTTGGTACCAATAATTGATATTTTATTTATTTCCATTTTATTTACCCCAATTTTGAATTCTTTGGAACTTATCCGATTTTGATTCATTTAAAACCCTAATAATCAATAAAATCTAAATTGGAAGAGTCGATTCCCTAATTTTTAAAAATTTCATATGTATAACTTCTTAAATTTTCATCATTAATAGGTTTATTTATACAACAGTATTCTATATTAGAAATAATATTTTAATTTTTTATTTTAGATTTGTTTAATGGTTTTCTTTTATGTATTTTTGGTATTAATATTATTTCATAAATAAAAATAGTTTAGTCAAGAGTAAATTGTTAAATATGCATTAAAAGATCATTATATATTGGTGTTAATAAATTCAAGTTCCATAAATTAATTCAATAAATTACAAACTTACATTGATAAAAATAATAGGTATTACAAAAAAGTATTTAAAATAATGTTATGGCTATTTAATAATTAATCATAGTAATGATTGATTAATAATAATTATATTTTATGTTTTATTTTTAGTGATACTACATCTATTATTTATTGTTGTTACTTTGTTCTTAAAATATGAAGAAAATAGAAATAATATTACACAACTTTTCAAAGTACAAAAATAGGGGTCTTCAAGTATGCCATTAACTTTTTTACTCTATCAGCAGTATCAACATATTAATCAGTAAATCCTACTTCATAAATACAGGTAATTTAAGTAATAAAATTTTTAATTTTTTTATCATCATTCATCATTAAAAATTAAAGATAGTATGTATTATATAGGTTGTCAACAATAACTACAATGTATAACTTTAACTTATATACACAAATATTTTAAGCTTAAACCCACCAACTTTCTTTAAATAAAATGATTTTACTATCAATTGTTATAATATAGTACAGTGGTCTTCAACCGGTGGGTCACGACCCATTTTTGGGTATCATAATCCTTAAAATTGGGTCGCGACGAGTCTTTTTTTTAAATAAAAATTAGATTTATAAAATTATATATAAGGTAAAAAAATAATAATAATATTATTGTATTATAATCATAATGGATATCAAGTGTAATGTTTCATATTACACTGGTATGATTCTACATAAGCAATTTGTTCTTTTTTATCAAGCTTACGTGGGTCGTGAAAAATAAAGGCCTAAAAGAGTGGGTCGCGAGTTCAAAAAGGTTGAAGACCACTGATATAGTATATAGTATACTGTATATTTTAAAAAGGAAACTAAATCTACAAGTGTTTTCTCCATCATGCCAACATAACAAATTTATGCATTCAATAGAACCTATTATGTGTTTTTAGCTTTAATACTATAATGTTTTAAGTTTTGGTATTTTTTTTAATATTTAAATTTTTAAGTTAGATATGAGTAAATGCAATTTGTAATAACTAATATTATATATACTCGTATCTTGTTCTTACCTCAGACCATTTTTTTTTTTTTTAGGTAAATTTACTTTAATATGAAAGCTAACAATGCAACATTTGCTATATTATATGAAGAGCACAGATTTTTATGCACTAAAAAGTATCAAAATATGCAGTAAAAATTATAAAAAATATGCAATGAATTTTTTTTTATTTATATACAATTTGCAAACTAAACAACTTACAATAAATAATTACTTAAATAAACTAAGTATATAAAAATGTTTCGTCTTAATACGCAATATATTTCAAATATTGTAAAAATATACAGAAAGATATTAATTAAATTTCACCATTAGATTTAAATTTTTATGATTTATGAAGATAACTGACAAAAATCTAAAAAAGTAAAAAGGAAAAAAATATGCAATTGCATAGAAATCTGTGCTCTAGTTATATGCTTATAGGATACATGCAAGTGTAGTATTTTCTTAAAATAAAATTTAAAAAACACGCTTGATATGAAACAAATACATACCATTAAATATTATTATATATTTTTCTATGTGAGTGGGATCTTGCTGTTTAATTTATGTATAACATTGTTTAAATAAATAAACTATTAAATTTAGAAATGGATACCCAATAATTTGATTTTTCTATGTAACAGTATTATTTTAATGTTGATAATAACTTAATTTATTTTTATTAATTCATAATTGAAATATAATAATGTCTTCAAACCGTTTTGTGGATATTTGATATGATGCAGAGTACATAGATATGAAGACTCAAATACATTGTTTTTCCAAGGATATAGATACAATATGCTTATGAGCACACCCAATAAACATTAAATTTTTAAATCTTATAAAAACTAATCTCATTGACTTAATTATGTCTTTTATTTGTTACATTAATTATAGGTACTTAATAATAACATATTTCTTTTTAAACTCTGTAAATGTCACTTTGTGAGAAAAATACTTAATTTTACTAAATATTTAAAACTATTATTTCTATAAGTCTTAAAATAATAAGCTAACCAATTCAAAATTGTATTATTTTAATCAATGAGTTTCATAAAATTTTAATAATTTTTTAGCTATATTCAAAGTTGAGGTTTTGACTGCTTTGGTATATGATATTTGTATGATTTAAATTATAATTTATAAGTAACTAACAATATTCATCAACATAATAATAGTTATAAGTTATTTTCTAACAAAATTAGGTTAATAAAAATACATTTGACTTTATAATAAAACATATTTTACATGGATTATTTTGATCTTTTAATATAATTTATTTAAATATATTAATTACTTAATTTTTATTTTGTAAATTAGGTAAATTTTTGAAATAAATAAAATAAAATATTTAAAATTATGTAAATAATAAGTTCTAAAAATGTAAACGGGTTTTCAATAAATAGTATTAATTAAAACTATGGTACAAACTAATTTCATATCATTCAAATTGAGCCATTCCATATTAATTAACAATCAACGATACAATCCCTTTTCAAACTATTTTAATATGAATCTAAGTAATTAAATATATAAATAATTTACATTATATCAATTACTTTCTTTAAGAAAATAAAATTTTCAAAATTTTAATATTGAATTTAGGATGAATGTTTTTAATTGTGGTATTAATATTGAGTACCTAATTAAAGGTCGCTTTAAGTTTAGTATCTTGGTTGCTTTATTTGTATTAATTATTTATAAAACCTATTCAATATATTATTTATTTTTATTATTTTAGCAAAAAACTCACAAGTATTTAAAAGGATATATGTTCATAAACTGATTGGTTAACTAAAAAACGAATGTTCAACATGCGTAATAAGAAGAAGAGCCTAGAAAAAAAGAAACAGTGGTCATGGGCTGAAGACACTCATCCTGATAACATAAATGATAGTCATATTAGTAGAGCGTTTTTCTTAGGACATCCCAAATGTAAACCTCTGTCTAACCATCGTAATTGTAGCAACAATCCATTCTGCCTATCTGGATTAGGTGAACAACGTTGGCTTCAAAACAAGGTCTCTTCAGTTGAAGTCTCAGGATTAGAATATCGAGAAACAAATACTTTCTGTGGTTTGAAAAATTTAGGAGCAACCTGTTATATTAACAGTTTGCTCCAGTTATGGTTCCATAACCTAAACATAAGAAATGCCATATTGAACTGGAATCCTATGGAAGATGAAACTGAAAAACATAACCCAACTCTTTTCATTGAAAATGGATATGAACCAATTACTTGTGTAGGTCAATTGCAATTAGTATTTGCATTAATGCAATTTGGAAAACAAAAAACAATTAATCCAGAAGCTTTCATAAAATCTCTAAAAATAGATGCAAGCATAGAACAGGATGCAGAAGAGTTTTCTAATTTGTTATTAACAACATTGGAGAAGAAATTTGAAAATCAAACAAACCCGTATGTTAGAAAAATGGTGAACAACAATTTTTTAGGTGGATATCGGAGTGTAATTACATGCTTGACGTGTAGAACTGAATCTGCAAGTTATTCGACATTTAGAGATCTAAGTTTAAACATTGAAGGTCATCAAACTTTAAATAGCAGTTTGAAAAATTATTTAAAAGAAGAACTTCTTACTGGAGATGACAAATATTATTGTAGCCAGTGTGAAGGAAAACAAAATGCTGTGCGTCAAATGTATTTGACTGAATTACCTTCAGTATTAAATTTTCAATTAATGCGGTTTGTCTATAATAGAAAATCAATGCAAAAAATAAAATTAAACACAATTATAAAATTCCCACAAACATTAGACATGGCACAATATATAAATTTACCTGATAAAGCAACTTCAAGAGTACATTATAAGTACAACTTATATGCGGTACTTGTCCATAAAGGCCCCAGTGCTAATTGTGGTCATTATGTTGCTCAGATCAAAGATGAAACTACAAAAAAATGGTACCAATTCAATGATGATCAAGTGGATAAGCTCACAATTAAAGGTTTTAATTTGTATACTGATGAAGAGCTTAAAAAATCTAAATCAATGAAAAATATCAAAAATCACAATGGAGAATTTCAATCTACTGATGCTTACATGTTAGTTTACATGAAAGATATAAAGGCTGAAATTCTGAAAACCAAATCAATCCCCCGCAAATTATTACCAAGATTAACTCAGTTGGTAAACACTTGTGATAACAATTTTGAAAATAAAATATTAGACTGTGAGCGAGGTAAAGTATTTGTGGAACAAATGTTGAATTTAATTAATGAAATAAAAAGTAGTTGTATTAAAGGAGATGGTGATATTATTTCTTTGCAGTGGCTAAAATATTTGTTTAAAGTTAATCCTAATGAGCATGTCAAGGCAATAGACAACAACACAATATTATGTAAACATAACTTACTGGATCCCGAAAAAATATATGAAGTCAAATATATTGGATCAGATTTAGCAGATAAACTGTATGATACATTTCAAGGTGGTCCAAGACTGAAGTTAAAGTCATCGTTATGTCTAGTATGTGTTAGAAACAAATGTGCTCTAACTTATACAAAAACTTTAACTAATAAACAACATGAATCTATTACTAAAATCTTAAAAAATTGGTCCGAGACTAACGATACAAATAGTGAAAATACAGAAACAAGTTATTGGGTAGGCAATGAAACCATTAAATGTTGGCAGCGCAAGTATTTTGAGTCATTTCAATCATTTCTCATTTCTAGCGATATACCCCTTAATACAAAATTGCCAATTAATCACGAAATATTGTCTGCAGTATGTGAACCATCTAGCAATTTATGCAAAGAAATAATAGTTAATGGAGGTATGAAACAGGAAAATATGACCTATGATGCAGAAGATATAATTAAACTTAAATGCTATAATAAAGCTTGTGAAAAGTCAAACACAGAAGTCGAGTGCAAAGACAATTTATTATTAATTACTAACTATGAAAAGGCATATTTTATGAACAACTCATATATGCCATGGAAATTCAATGATGACATTATATGCGAACACGGAAATTTGACTATTGAAAAGTATTCAAAGACTTTGGTGCCAAAAGAAGTGATGGATATATTCCAAACCTATTTTCCAAACGCATCATTGTTTGTTAAAACTACAACATCGTGTCGGGTATGTAGGAATGAGCATATTCGGGCTTTGTTATGCAAGTATACACGTTTAACTCTAGCAAAGTTAGAGAATTACTTTTTAAGAGATTTACTGTGGAATAAAAATATAAGTGTTTTTTCAAGAGAATCTTCACCATATGCATGTATTTCTGCTAAATTTTTGGAAACCTTCCGTAAGTTTGTCAAAGCTCCATTAGATGTGCACATCCCTAATTTTATCAAAAATAAAGAGCTGCTTTGCGATGATCACAATAAATTGATTTACCATCCGGGGTTAAGTTTGAATCCAACAAAACATGAACATAATAAATTGGAGATTATAACAAAAAAAGAATGGAAATGGCTTTTACAATGTTATGAAGCTGATTTTGGAATATTTGTATACTTTGATGCTCAACGCAAATTTAAAACATCAAACCCAGAAATTTGTGAAACATGCCGCCAGAAGAAACTGCTAGAAAATAATATGAATAAATTAAAATATAATAATGTGCAAATATTTATTGAAGTAGAAGATATTGAAGATCAGAATGGCAACTGTTCAAAAAAATTCAAACAAGACACTACAGTATGTGAGAATAATACCGGTTATTTTAATATAGCTTCCACTTCAACAGCCAATAACAATATGGTATCTCCGAATGAATTAAGAAGGAGTGAACGAAAACAAATACCAAAGGTTGAGCCTGTCATCGTCTCTTTTGATAATACAGTGTTTGACCTCAAATTAAAGATCATGGAAGTGTTTAAGGTTTATCCTACACACCAATATTTAAAAACTGCTGAAGGAATAGAGTTGGTGAAGAATGACATAACTTTGGGAGAACTTAATATTCTTCCTTTCTCAGTGATACTAGCCCAATTTCATGAAGAAAAAGTACATAAGTCAGAAGTCATCACTCCACAAGAGACTGGATTTAAAGGTACTGAGCTCATGCATTGAAATGTCTAAATTTATTTTATTTTTATTCATATTTTATTATATGAAAATTGTACATTGTTAAATTGTAAACTTTAACTTACTATCATATATTGAATTGTTTATTATTTACTCAATATATTGTCCTTTATACATTAAGCTTATAAAAATGTTTAACTTTTATTTATAGATAATTTTATTTCTTAACAAAATAATTAAGTAATAATAATTTATGTTTGTATGTTTGTTTTTGATAATTAATGTTATGTAACATTTTTTTTATTATTATTGAGAACACTGTTTTTTTTCTCTCTAGCCCATATCTGTTTCAGTTTTTTCACGTTTTTAAGTAATTTTAAAGTAACATCACCCATAACAAAAAATATAGTGAATAAAATTTTTGAGGGTATGACATATCGATTTATTTAAATTTTATCTTAAAACAATTTTGAAACACAATTTAAATTAAAATTTTATTTATTATTTTGAAAGTTGAGTACTAGGTCAAATAAAATAATAAAATATAAAACCTATATTTTAAACCCTCAAAATATTATCCTTTATAATTATTGTAATATGTGTTTTTACTCTGATTACTCAAAAAATGTTTCTGTGTGAATGTGTGTAGTCTGTGTTACGCGTGAGCCAGAGAGAAAACTAACAGTGCACTGACATACTCTTGAAACTATTTTTTAAACATAAAATATATGTATTCCTTATGATGTATTTAAGCTAAGATAAAATATTAATGTGAAGAGTATAATATGTATTCTACTCAAATACTATTAATTACCGTTAATGACATTAAATTTATCATTTTTACTATGATAAAAATATTCTAACTATTTAATTTGATTTTTAATCTTTTTAATTATAGTAATATATACATTATTATTTTAAATAAGAAATGTAATCTAATTTAATTCATTCAAATTAGTGAAATTTTTATTTTCATTATAATATCAGGTAACCTCCTTGCTCTTCATTAAAAGTAATATCGACATTTAAAATTAATGAAAAATACCTAAAAACTATTAAAGCAAATATATTGAAATAATATTTATTGATATAATATTTTGAATTTCCCAGTTATAAATTAAAAGTTATTAAAATATTTTAATTTATTAGCTAAAAATTAATAAAATTACCTACCTAAAAATGAAAACACGAAAACATGCAAAATAAAAGTTTCACCTTTGAAATCCTATCATCTGTTACTAAAAAATGTATATACTAAGAATGCATTGTCTTAGAGCACCCAAAAAATATAATTTTCATTTAAATATTTGTACTAAAATTGTATATATACACTATAATTACAAAAAATCATGACAGTATTTTTAAAAATATAATATTAAAATATATTTCAATGTTATAATTTAATAATAAAGTTTAGTCTTAGTATATAAATAAATAATATAAAAAGATCTCAATTGGAACAACATTTAAAATATTTCTGGTGAAAAGTTTGAGAATCTATTCAAAGCATTAGTGGAAAATACACATTTAGAAACATTAAGTTTGATAAATGTTGGACTTACTGATCGGTTAGTAGACAAGCTAGATTAAGTATTAGTAAAAAAAAAGCATATTACGCGTTGTAATGTGGAAACCAATTTCATTAGCCTTTTAAGAATAGTCCATTTAGTCAAATTTTTATTGAAGTAGAGATCATTGGGAAATAAGATAGAAATGGAACTTACCTAATTGATTGAAGAAAATCCAACCATTCTTAGACTGGGTTTGCATTTGGAGTACAATGATGCTCGTCATCGCATTGCATCACATTTGTAACGCAATATTGACAGGATATGCCAGAGCCGTTTGGGCGTAAACTCACATAAATTGGATATTTTGGTAACGTACACTACTTAGGCCGTTTATGTAGAACTGGTCATTTTGAGCGTACGTACACTGGTACGCAGGCGGTTGGGTTGTACACAAAAAAGCTAAATAATTATGAGTTTATGCCAAGACTTTGATCATGGACTATTATTTTTTAAGTATTTAATTGTATAATATAATAATGTATTGTTTTTTTTTTCATTAATTGTTCAAACAATTTGTATATATATTTATGATATGGTCTTATGCTGGCCTTTTCATATGCGTTTAGTTTTTAGTGCAAGTGTGTGACAATTTTATTGATTTGAATTTTTAAACATAAAATTGTATTTATTAATATGATTAAGTTAAACAAATTAATTATAAAAACAGAAATTTTATCTTGTTAAATTGCACAATTTTAATTTTGTGCATATTATTTTTTACTATTAAGTTATTTGTACAAAAATTAAGTAATACCTAAAAAGACTAATTAAAACAAATCCATAACCCTAATTTTATTTTGTATTCCTAAACATTTACAGTTATTTTATTAATGTTATTATGTATTTTTACCGATACTATTTTACTTTTAAATGCCTTCAATTGTAAACAATTTTACTACACCAAATTTTGCCATGTTATTTTTATGAACTGATCATTTTGTATTAATTATACTGTTGTGTTGCAACCATATTATTTTATATGATGATCAATATTATTTTACTCACTTAAAATATATAGTAATGTATAATGCAAAAAAAAAATCCTAATAAACCATTTTGTGATTGATCCAGAGCGTTGTTTTTTACTCTTTCAGGAGTTGATCAAGAATGTAATTTTTCATTCTATTTATCAAAACTGATTTTATCCCACAAAAAAAGTAATAGGTTTTTGTTTTAAACTAAATAATGTTGGATAACTGCATTGAAATATAGAAGAATCCAAAAACATTTATTTACCTAATATCTAGTGTGAAAAAATCTAAAGTAAAATTCATGTCTAATTTAAATTTAATGAATAAATTACAGAAGAAAAGGGAAAATTAACCATCAAAGTTGAAATTCCTTATAGCTCGACCACTCAACTATTAAGACATGTATAGCCTATATATTAGGTCATATAGGAAATAGTAAAATTATACTCATTATACAAACTACCAATTTGACTTGCACTTAACTTGAATCAAAAAGCTCAACCAATATTTTCAAATAAAGCTAAATGATTTTATTTTAAAACTATTAAAAATATAATATATTTCATGACTATTTCTTTCCGTTTTAAAAAATATTTAGATTGAGCACAATTTCTATATTATTACAGTAAACTTTCCATTATTTGCAGAATTAGATGATGCAAAAACCGCGGAAAAGTAAATTCTTTGAATAATCAAATATAAGATGAAATATAACAAAAATTAACACAAAAATACATTTAACATGTTTTATTAGTATTATATTAAATTATGACATTACTCATAAAAGCATAATGATTTTTTATACATACTTTGTAATATTATTATCATGCATTAACATAATTTGTATTTCTTAAAATAACTCAGTTCTATGGAAGACTGTGGATAATTGAGAATTTATTATCTTTAACTTCTTAAGCTCGACTGCAATTCAGCTAAAATAAATGAAATTTGACTTCAATCTTTCTTTATAATAGTCTTCAAGATTGAATATTACTATAAAATTTAAAAAACACCCATCTAAATAGTACACAATAAACTTAACAATGTTCTGTTAAAATAATGTTGAGTTTAAACTTAAATCACAATGATAAATAAACATTAAAAACTAGATAATACTATTGAAATTTAATGAACATATTTATGTAGGTAAAATAACTAAATGTTTCTATGAATAAACTAAATACAGAGTAATGTATTATCAATTATCCAGTAATATTTAAATAATACAAAACTATCATCAATTGACGAGTAACTAATATTTTGACAAGGAATTATCTGAAAATAAAATGTTATTTTACCTTATTTATGGTGGGACTGAAGTAGTTGCCATCTACTGGGAGGCCAAACTATAACTGAAACCTTAGCAACAACAAGTCCTTTAGAAATCGGACCAAAACTAGTAGAATCATATGTATGGCCTTTATGATCACCTTCAATCCAATAGTATCCTTTAGGCACAACTTTTTTTTCCCCTGAACTACTATTTTTCTTTTTTAATACTACAATGTCACCTTCAACACCAGTTACACGTTTAATAATTGTCTCATTTGGACATCTAGGTGATAAGGCCACAATAATATCACCGCGCTTAATAGAATCAAATCGCACTGGAATATATGATAGAAACACAAAGTCTGCCGTGTTATTTGGATTGAATGTTGGTTGCATAGAAATTCCATCAACTCTAGCCACAGACCCAAACGTGTCTATGACTGTGCGTCCAATAGCCACGCCAATCACAACATTTTTTATTTGACACCAAACTCCCATTTGAATTGAAGTGATTTAATGAGTCTGAAAAAATGATGATAATTAATACTTGTAGTAAACAGTTGATATCTGAATCTAAGTAATTGTTTTAAAAATTAAAATCAAATATAACTCACAGGTAATTATTTATAAACACTATTATATTTATGACTTATGTACTTACACTAACCGGCAATCATGAATCGACAAATCTAAAACGGGTCATATTACTCAACACATAGTCAGAAACTCAGAACGTCAGAACTTTGAAGTTCAAAAATTTTTTCATTTGACCGGTGAATAGTGATAGGAAAATTCGTGATTACTATTCGTTTAATGGAGATTACGAATCATGTATTTGCTTATCAAAGTTGATAAGCTAAAATCACAAATATTATCATTATCATCGGCAAATGTTCAAGTCACAAGGTATAATAATTGTAGCTTTTGCAATTTTGCATTATGTACGATTTAATTACTTAGTACTTACTATTTTGTGTGAATTATGATGAGTGTTGGATAAAAAATATATATCATGCTATTGTACAGGCGTTATAGGCTGAAGGCTTTGTAATAAGCATAACTGCACAAGTGTTACGTTTCGGTATATTTATGTTATTATATTATGTACTCGGATGATGGTTATTCAACTGTTTTATGGACTTTTTTTATTAACTCTGTGTAGATTTTAAAGCGCTTAAAATTTCCTAGGTATTTTTGATTAATCTTGTAAATTTATCGGTACTTACAGCAACTGTATAGAAACTACAACTTTAGTAACATTGGTACATTACGTGAAGTTTATATTACACATTTTATATTTAATTCAATGTATTAACACTTGATGGCAATTTTTATGGTATTTTGAATTTTACTTTTTTTTTTTTTTTAAACATTTGCTTTACACAATACATTTTACGTAATTATGTTTATAAATAGTTAATGAAAAAAATAATATTTATAGTATATATGTTGTAGGCCATGTGGACAATATAAAGACATAAGCTATTTGCCAGATATGAGCAATATATAAGATACGTATCCAGCGGTGGATCTAGGGTTTTTTTTTGGTGGAGACCCAACATTTTTCTTGATCCTCATCCTTTGAATATGCTACTGGACGTATCTTAAATCCATTTGTATCTGGTATTTTTAAATAAAGAAATAAAGTATCTTGTAAGTGGATACTCTTTCCTTTTTTTTTTTACTAAGATTCTTGATGCTAGATACAAATGAAGATTCATTTATTTTTTAATAGCAAGTATTCTAACCATTATATATTTTAAAGTATACAAATTATTTATGAAATTTCTAAAAAAAACCCACTTCATTGAATGTAAATAATGTTCATACGGTAGTACGGTATCCTTTGTACTTATGTTTAATTTGCAACCTCTACTATATAGTCTTACAACCATATAGTTATATAATTGTTTTGTTGTCTGAAATTCTGACACATGATCATTACTTTTCTAGCTCTATACATTGTAAACTTGTATTTTGGATACTGTAGTCTCTAAATCATATTTTTATCTATCATCAGATACTAATGAAGCAATTTTGGGCAACTGTTTTCACCCATTTTATAAGCTTTGATGATTATCAAAATCACATGAGTGTGAACAACAATAATTAAAAAATATATATTATATATTAATGTAAATATTTCAATATATATTACAATATTGACTACAGTAATAGTTATATGGGCGATTCTGATAGTTTTCTTTAAAAAATGAATCTGAGGATAAGCCACAGCCCACAAGAATCCGTAATCGATTTAGAAGTCATTACTCTTTTTAATGACAAGAACAGGTCTTTGTCTATGCTAGACAGTTATTCTATTGTAAGCAATTATTTATTCTCTATAACACAAATTTGTGTTCATCTGTGCTAATTAAGCAAATGTTTTCTTCTGCGGGTTTCATAAATTCACCAACTATTTCTAGATTATTAGACAATATGTTTAAAAAATTTTTAAAAGTAATGTAGTATTCTCAAAATAGTATTGATGTATAATTTTTTGATTCTTATTAATTATTGATACCTATATAGTAATTTTAATTTGTCGTTTTTGATATTATATATATATTTTAAATATTAATAATATTATTTTTGATATTTTGTTTATTGATTTTTTTCATAAATATGTATATATTTTTATTTTTTATTTCATTAAAAACAAAGTTTAAATTTGAATACTCATACTATAAGTTGTTTAATATAGATGTATTTTATGTTTTAGATACAATATTTCATTAATATATAGACAATGTCTAGTATATCTTGTTCTTGATACTTTTTTCATGTATCTTACACATCCTTGCTATTTGCAATGTTATAGCTCATTTACAAACTACTTATTATTATTTTTTAACGACTGGCTGTTTTTTAGGCTTATTACAATCAGACTAACAATTAGGAGCTTTTTAAAAACTATAATTATAAAGTTATTTTACTGTAATTTATTATTTCTAAAAAAAAAAGAATGAAAAAATAATTTATATTTTTTGAGTAAGTATTAAATTAAATAATAACACTAAGAAAAATAGTGGAGAGACATTTACAATTTGAAGACATAGTTATCAAAAATGTTTTTACAAAACAAATTAATGCACTTGTCAGAAACATAATGCATTGTGTAGCTCAAAATACCACGAAAAAACATGCAACAATAAGTAAATATAAATTTATTTGTATATCATCTTTTTTTTTTAATTATTTAGTGTCATAATTAATATGCTTTAAAAATAAATAAATAAAATTAGTAATAAAATAGTTAAAAACTATACAATAATAATATTCAACTTCACTTAATAAATATAATAGTTACTTATAAAATTTACATATTATAATTATTTTATTCTTTTTTTATAGAAGCAATAAATGACAACAAAATTACTATATATTAATTATATATTATGCTATACTTTTTTTTATTTTTTTTATATTAATTTTTTTAGTCTATTAGCAATAGGACTGAAAAACAGTCGGCCGTTTGGAAAAATAATAAGTATTTTGCAAGCGAGTTACTCCATTGCAAAGAGCCTATTTTTACAAAATATTACTAATTTTCCATTTGTCCTATGATATATACATAGGTGATAAATAATTAAAAAATTAATGGACTTTAAATTTTAATACATAAAAACAAAACATATTTTAAAAATTAACCATAATACATAATCATGATTATTTTAAATTATGACATAACTCATTTTAGAAAACTACTAGTACAATCCTTAACAACATTTTTGGAAAATCACATTATTATATATATATATATGGATAAAAAATAAAAATTACAAAAAAACCAAGAATATTTTCTTACAAATCAAAAAGATAAATTTATTAAAAACTTAACAATTTAATACATAAATATAAACATTTTACTATTAAAGTTTTTGATAAATACTATGCACAATATTAAATAAAATAAAAAAATTAAAGATTTTAAAACAGATTAATTTCTATTGTTTATTAGGTATAATTTTGTTGTAGCTTAATAACTTTTTATTTAATTTAGTGTAAAATGATATTAATATTGAGTATAAAATATATTGATATATTGTGATTTAGGTAATTAATTTTGACTAAAATTAAAAATAAAATAGGTAATATAGCATAAATACCTTTTAAAAATACTCATGACATACATAGTGAAACAATATCAAAAATGTTTACTATATGTAAATATAGTATGTGAATTGACTATCTAATTAAAATATATCTATTAAAAATGTATAGCTATACAAAATTTTAAACATGTGTGTTATGTTAGTTAAATTCTCAATTATTACACGGTTTTAAAATTATTGAACTCTTTGAACAATAAAAAAAATTTATCTTGTATTTCATCGTGATCTTCATAATAATGATTATTTATCGACCATTTATTAGTTTCATTGTCAATAAACGAATCATCCTGGTCAAATAATGTTTGAATTATATTTTCAATTTCTTTTGTACCTCCAAAATCATCTGATCAAAAAAAACTTCATGAATACCTATTATGTACTAATAAATTTAATGTTTTGGAAAAAAAAAATAAATAAATTTACCTGTATCCATAAAATCATCAATAAAAATATTATTTGGTTCATATAATTGATTTCCTACATAACTAAATTCTAATGACGAATTTTCTTCTTTTTTTATAATATGTTCATCTCTAAAAAATATAAATATAAATTTACCATACCATATTGCACAATAAAAATTTAAATATGTTTAACTTCAGAAATGGTACTAGTCAAATGTGTATGATACAACTATTAAAGAAAAAATTACAATAATTAAATTAAAATAATAATATACTTTAGTTATCTACCAATAGGTTTTTATTTGGTTTAATTTTAAATGTTAAAGATTTAAAGATCAAAAGTTTAAATATAGCGCTATATTAAATTAATATAAAAAAAATAATAATTAAATATTTAATTCTATATTTTAATGTTTTGTTGAATACATTTGTTATTTTATGTAACAATTGAAGTTTTACAGTATTAAAATATCCACTAAATAAGAATTAAATATTATTAAATATGTTATCATAACTCAGCATTCTTAATATTTAAATTATCAATCATACAACTATATATCACGTATTTATTTATAATAATTTAGAGTAATTGTAAACCTAAATGAGGAGTAAGAAATAAAATGAACAAATATTTAATGTATGTTTAGTATATATTTGCTTAAACTATCAGTGTATCTTATAAAAATATAATAAATAGAATTATAAACTGAGTTTTACTAAAATTTAAATTTCCCTTTAGTGTAAATATGTTACGCTCCTTACACCTTATAATACTATAATATTAGTCATACATTTTCAATAATCTAAAATATAAAAAATATATACCTAATATATTTAGAAAAATCTTTGAATGTTAATTTAAATTCATTTTTTTTTAACATTGTTTATATATCAAACCTAAAAATTATATATTTAATTATAAAATGTCATACTTGATAAATTTTATTTTATTTGGTAATAGTTGTTCAGTAGTATTTGCCAATGAATCAATATTTTTTTTTTTAGATTTACCACAAAACTGTAGTAGTGGAATAGGTTCTTTTAATTGAGATCGAATTGAATATTTATTTTCCCAAAATATTTCACTTGTAGATAATGTTTTTTGAATAGTTAAATGTCTTCTTTGTTTTGGTTTCTTTAGTGAAATCTGTGATTTATATGTGTTATATTTAAATTTGCAAACTGAGTTTCTAGTTTTAAGTATTTTTGAAATTGAAAATTTCTTTTTAAAAGAATATTCATGAGATAACCATGTAAAAAGATGTTGAGAACTTGATTT